TCTCGCCAGGACGCAACAGGGAGATGTGAGACTCAGGGCATGGTAAATCAAAACCATGACAGGCACAAACCGACAGCCAGCTCTGTGTCAGATTTTAAAAGGATTGTCCAGGAGCTCCTGTACCTGCTGCCCTTTCATCACAGCAACACATAAGCGCTAGCCATTCATAATCCCCACTGAAGGTCACTCCCATAAATATAGGTTCAGCCTCTTTGTGCTGCCTGCTCAAGTGGACACAGCAGGCCCAGGACAGTAACAGATATGTCTTTGAACCACAACACTCGAGAGCAAGAACTGCTTGGACAGCACTGCTGTCACTGGTCAGCTGGCAACTCACCTCCAGTGGGACGCAGTGCACACATTTTCCCAGGGGGCCGTGGCGGCACCTGAGGAGAGCAGAGGCAGAGAAAGGCACAGCAGTGTGCAGGTTACTTCCTCCCACATGCTTTACATCCAAAATGTGTACCACACTTCAATAAAATGCTGCCCCACCCAGTAGGGATTACTTTAAGTAATTCCTAAATTCATGTTTTAATTCTAAAACATGAATACTTGTAATAGTTTACTATGAGTTTTTATGTGCTATTAGAAAAAAAACAACCAGCAGAACAAATCTGTAATTTCATGGAATCTAACCATTTAAAACAGCACTAACCAAAAATGAAAGTAATACTTGGCATGTAGAAAGCCCAGGATTCAATCCCTAGGACACAAACAAGTACACATGCACTTGCATACACAAACACACACACAAAAGGATTTAAAGTCAACTTAAGTCAATAAAAATGTTAATAAGAAGAAAACTAGTACTACACAAATATGGCAAAAACCCTAAAAGTGGTGCATTAACCCAAGTTGGTAAAATACCCACCTCATGCACATTTGGAAACACAAAGGATGTATGGTCCCAGAGTTCTGGACACTTACAGTCAAAGAGACCTCAGAAGCTCAACACATGTAATACAACGCAAAGATGTGCTTATTTAGGAGGCTGTGGTGAGGCGGCTGGGAAAGCCAAACTGCCTCATGGGGGCAAAGCCAATTCCACTAAAGGGGTCACAATCCTTCAATGCAAATGAGCTCTGCATCTCAGAATGGAGAAGGCTTCAGTGTCTCCCAACAACATATATTTTTTTTTAGTTAGTTATACGTGACAGAGGAATGCACTTACATATTTTGATATATCATACATAGGTGAGATATAACTTCTCATTTTTCTGACTATACATACTGTAGAATCACATTGGTCATACAGTCACATACATACATAAAGTAATAATGCCCGTTTCATTCTACTCCCAAAACACATTCTTACTGATGACAGGTCAGAATTAACATACTGCAGGCACATACGATAAAAGATCTTGAACAAAGCCATGAGGGCCCAGATCCTAAGGGAGTGAGCACTGGACCCTGGGAGGAACCGGAAGGGGTGTACTGCCCAGGCTATGGGCATCAGTAGCTCCAGGACAACTGCAACTGAGCAACATTGGTGACTCTTTCACATAAGACACAAAAGCAGGCTGGGTTGTGGCTCAGTGGTAGAGCACTCGCCTCGCATGTGTGAGGCACTGGTTTCAATCCTCAGCACCACATAAAATATAAATAAATAAAGGTATTGTGTGGCTGGGGATGTGGCTCAAGCAGTAGTGCGCTCGCCTGGCATGCGTGCAGCCCAGGTTCAATCCTTAGCACCACATACAAACAAAGATGTTGTATCCGCCGAAAACTAAAAAAAAATAAAATAAAATAAAATTATCTCTCTCTTAAAAAATAAATAAATAAAATAAAGCTATTGTGTCCCTATACAACTAAAAAAATTAAAAAAAAAAAAAAAAAAAAAAACACACACACAAAAGCTGCTAATGCAGCACCTGGAACCTCAACATCTATTTCAGTATCAGCACCCCATCACATTTACAGGGTGATACATTTAAAGAGTTCACTGAAGGGCTGGGGCAAGGACTCAGTGGTAGAGTGCTTACCTGACGCAGGTGAGGCCCTGGGTTCAATCCTCAGCACCTCATAAAAAATAAATAAAGGTATTGTGTCCATATACAAAAAAAAAAAAAAAAACTAAAAAAAGCGAGGCACTAAGCAAATCTAAGTAAAATACAAAATAGGGCTGGGAATATGGCTCAGTGGTCAAGTGCCCCCGAGTTCAATCCCCCCCAAAAAATTTACATGGAACATATTCTGAAGTTTCAACTGATGAAAAGCTAAAAAGATAATATGAAGTAAACTTTAATCTGAAAATACATGGTCAAATTCAAAACCTCCTACCAGATACACACACACACAGGACATGTTATCAGCAGCATTTCCTTTAATGACCCAGTAGACCATGGTGGGGGCTCCACAGAGCACTTACAGCTGTGGGTCCCGGCTTCTGTAAATCTTCCCATCCTGCTTGCTGAGGTACTGATCAATCTCATCCTCCACCACGTTGGGGGCTCCAAAGCCTTTTAACCTTAGTGAGGTTGACGTCTCCATTTCAGATGAGGGTCCAGCAAGGCTCGAGGGAAACAGGAACAACAAATCGCCATGTCTGTTCAAAAAAACAAAAAGTGGAAGCCATCCTGTACACCACCTGGGCTGTGCACATCAACCTGGATGTGCAAACTCTGACCTCTTCAAAAGGCAATTGTCACTGTCCTGAACTCCTACATCACAAAGTTTCCAAAAGTAAGAGACCATAATTTTTTTTTTTTTTTTTTTTGGTACTGGAGATTGAACCCAGGGACACTCAACCACATCCCCAGCCCTTTTTATATTTTATTTAGAGACAGGGTCTTGCAAAGTTGCTTAAAAACCTCATACAATTACTCAAGCTGGCTTTGACTCACAATCCTCCTACCTCAGCCTCCCAAACTGCTGGGATTACAGACGTGCACCATCACACCCAGCCAAATTCTCTACATGCTTCAGCAGTAGGACCGCTGTAATATAATTTTACTTACCACTTTATTTTAGAAGCGGTGACATATACACATCTTGTGTGTGACTTTACACACAAGAATGGAGTCAACACTGTGGTCACCCAGGCCTTAGGCAGCTCCTCATATTTGTTCCATGCAGCCCCCACATCCCTTTTCACCCTCAACCCTCTGTTAGGGCCCCGCACACCATGTGCCAGCTCAACATGCACGCAGAACTGGAGGCAAGGTCACTGCTCTTCAAGAGGGCACCACATTCACATCATACTCTTTTCACCCAACACCCCTCATAAAAGATGCTCCTATCCGATCGTGACTTCAGATGACTTCTTTACACTCCCTATAACATGAGGGACACTTCTGCCGCCCATAGATGTCCACAAACAGATGCCATGTGCCTCCCCTCCCACAGGGGTGGCTCCCAGAAGCAGCTATTTTAAGTCTGCTCCCAAGGCTGCTGCTATAAGCCTCATTTTCTATAGTAATGGCTGGTATGCTGTCACTCTGTGTGTAATGGTCAGACACACATGGTCATCTGTGGAAGCTGAACAGAGACCAGTGAGCATTTCAACTCACAGGCTGTTCACAGAAGCTCTGCAGGTCACGTGGACCAAGGTGCCGCACAGCACTGAAACAGGGCCAGCCCTGAAGAGAGGCTGCATGAACCACCTAGCAGATACTTAGCTGTCTAAGAGGACAGGAAAGGCGACTGACAGGATGGCCCACCACAGCACTGAGGAGCAACCTGAAGGGAGAGCAGTGGCCAGGAGAGCTAACCCAGAGGATTCGTGCACTGCAAAACACAAGGGAGCCACTCTGGCCTTGGCTTTGCTCTATAACTCAAGGGTGACAAAACTACCAACTTGTAATCAGAGATTTCTGTTTCTAACAGCACATTAAGAAGTCCTAAACAGCCTCCAGCTACAAAGTCCTGGCCCAGACTTGAGGTAAATTTTAACAAATATACCCTAAAAACCAACTGAGCTCTAAAGAAAGTAAAGGAAATCCCCAGGGGTCCAAAATCCAGCAGTACAGCTAACAAAACCAGGAGATACAATTCAGAGCTGCCGCAGGGCCAAGGCTGTGATCAGGAACTCAGGGTTTTGGACCTACAGTCATTCAATGAACAACAAGAGACAGGCCATGAGCCTCCCTGTCCCAGGTGGGCTGCTGAGCCTGAAACTTCCATGTGAAATCAGAAGGACATCTGAACAACTGGGGAAAGCCACAGGCTCAAAACACAAAGAGAAATCTTGCCTGCCTCCCTCCACACAGTATGGAAAAAGCCACCTCCAAGGGTCCCAGGGGTAGTGGGCCATGCATCCTGGAAGAAACCTAGGCCAAAACCCAATGGTAAGAGTTGTGAGGAGTCCTGGCTCCACAGCTCCCCTTGTGCCCACAAAAATAAACAGGAGCCTTCTCTGTAAAAGAGCCATTAAACCCTTAGAATTCCCCAAGATGAAGTTTGGTCAAATATAACCTCTAAAACTAAAACCCCACAGACACAAAAGAAACAAGCACTCTGAGCAAGGATGGGCAGAGACGACAGCACAAAGACTGAGAGGTAGGCCAAGGACTCAGTGCTTGAATCGCAACATGCAGAAGCAAAACGCAAAGAGCAAAAGAGAAATTTTCCGGAAGGAGTTGTGGACAGCATGGCCCTGAGCATTCAATACCTACAGACAGAGGGGAAGGAAACCAGACTTTGAAACAGAAGTGAGGACGGCCAGGCACGGGGGACTCCAGCTACAGTCCCAGCGCTCCGGAGGTCAGCAGGAAGATCGTTTCAGCCCAAGAGTTTAGGGCCAGCCTGGGCAACAAGAAGATCCTGGGTTTTTTTGTTTTTAAAAAGGTAAGACCCTGTCTCAAGATAAAAAATAAAAAGGGCTACCCCAGAGTAGCTGCAGCACCCTCCATCTTGACCTGCGTGTGATGGTGCCCACCCAAAGAGAGGCTGAGGTAAAAGGATGGAAAGTTTGAGGCCAATTTGAACAAGCCCAAACACATCAACACATGCTGCCCTAGGCTTCCAGCACTTAATTAAATAATAAAAAGGGGAGGGGCAGGGATGTAGCTCAGTGGTAAAATGCTTGCCTGGTGTGCAAGAGGCCCTGGGTTCAATCCCCAGCACCATTAAAAAAGAATAATAATAATAATAATAATAATAAAAGGGGAGGAGGTAGAAACACCAAACAATGAAAGATATGGGAGGTGGACAGTAGAACAGGTAGGACAAAAGTGGCCATGAATTAATTGTCCATCAAGCTGAGGGAGGGGACTATGGATTCCTCCATGTATTCTGTTTACTTTTACATACGTTTAAAATGTTGCATATTATAACAAGTTGGTCTTGGAGCTGGGACTGTAGCTGTCGCAGAGCATTTGCCTAGCATGTGTGAGGCCCTGGACTCAATTTCCAGTCCCTCCCCACCACACACAAAAAGCTGATCTTGTAGAAGTGGACAGTAGAATAATGGTTACCAGACTCTGGGGAAGAGCAGGAGGGAGGGATGGGGAAAGGTTGGTCAAAAAACCAGAAGAAGGTATTTTAAAAGTTCTGATCATAAAGAAATCATCCATATTTGAGAAACTACACATACTTACCTTGAATTGAATGATACAATGTATATATACACTAAAACCACACATTTCATAAGTGTGTACAATTTTTTTTGTCAACTTAAGAATTTTTTTTTCAAGTTTTACATTTAAATAGCCAGTTACAGTGGCACATGCCTGTAATCCCAGCAACTCTGGAGACTGAAGCAGGAGGATCTCAAGTTTAAAGCCAGCCTCAGCCACTTACCAAGGCCCTGAGCAACACAGCAAGATTCTAAAGGTTGACGGTTGAGGGTATGATTCAGTGGTCAAGTGCCCCTAAGTGAAATCTCCAGTTCAAAAGCAGTTGGAAGGAGCTGAACATGGTGGTGCCCACACCTGTGATTCCACATATGTGGGAGGCTGAGACAGGAGGATTACAAATTGAAGGAAAGCTTTTCAGCAACTTAGCAAAACCCTGTCTCAAAATAAAATTTAAAAGCCAGGAATGTAGCTTGATGGTGAAGTGCCCCTGGGTTCAATCCCGAATACTGTCCAAAAAAAAAAACAGCAAGCTAGAAAGGAACTCCGGTTAGAATCACAGTGCACTCTGAGCACCAGAAACGGAGCCAGAAGACAGTGGAGAAAGATCAACACAGAGCCTCAAGAAAGTCAAGACCACCATTAGAAACACGGATGAGGGGACTAGGGCTGTGGCTCAGTGGCAGAGTGCTTGCCTAGCACATGTGAGGCACTGGATTCGATCCTCAGCACCACATTAAATAAATAAATAGATAGATAGATAGATGGATGGATAGTTAAATAAATAAAGGTATTGTGTCCATCTATAACTAAAAGAACGTTAGAAAGAAATCAATCAATCAATCAATCAATCAATCAATCATGGATGAGGTCCTCTAAACCAGCAAGCAGGCTGGTGAGGTGTAACTGCCACACACAGCTGCCTCCAAGGTCCTTCCCTCTGGACAGGCAGCTGAGTGTGGACAGGAATCCAAGACTATAACCCTCTCCTTGGTGACACACAACCAGAACCTGCTCAACCACATCAGCTCAACAGAGCCCAGAGCAGGGGATGATGCCTGTGACTGCAGCTACTTGAGAAGCTGAGGTAAAAGGATGGCAAGTTTAAGGCCAATTTGAACAAGTCAGAGGGACCCTATCTCAAAAAAACCCAAAGCAATAACAAACCCGCTCAACAGGCGACCCAGTCTGAGTGCTTCACACCTGCAGAGCAACACAACCACCTCTAGTGCTAGCAATTAGCGGGACCTTAACTGAAGTAGTGAGGAGATAGGCAAGATCTGGGCAGCCCCAGGTCGATCAGAGGTGGCGATTCCTCCCATTCCCTGTGTTCTCCTAGGTGAGCACTTACTTGATTTTTAGCAAGTGGAGGGATTTGCTGGACGATGCCGTTATCTCCCCAGTCTTGTTTCTATTGATGTACACTGAGAAGCCATTGTTTTGGAAGCCAAACTCCTTTGCAACCTACAACAAGCCCCAAAACAACAGAGATTTAGTAAAATGTTTCAATTTCACTATACGCAACCCCATCCATCAAACACCACTGAAGAGTCTGATACAGCAGTGTATACCTATAATCCCGGCAACCAGGAGGCTGAGGGAGGAAAACTTAAAGTTCAAGCTCAGCCTCAACAATTCAGTAAGCCCTGTCTCAAAAGAAAATATAAAAAGGGCTGGGGGTGTGGCTCAATGGTCAAGCACCCCTGGATTCAATGCCTAATACCAAAAAAAGAGCTTGAAACAAGCAAGAGTCACGGCCATGAGTGAAGAGATTAATTTCTACTTCTGAATCAACTATAAAAACTCAATTCAGTTGTGAAACCAAACTACAGAGAGAAAATAAGAATGCAAAATACTGCAAATTCAGTAAGATATATCCACTAAGCCAGGCATTTTGTGAGATACTGGGAACATTCATCCATTCATTCAACGAATATGAAACAGTCCTCCTTCCTGGGCTAGAGTTCTGGGTGCTGAGAACACAACACTGAATTTAAAAAGGCAAGGTCCCTCCCTGCCATCAGGGATCTTACCATCAGATGGGGCAGACTTGGATAAGTGGGGACACAAAAAGAGAAAGGAACCTTTCTAGAGGTGACATAAAACTACATGATCTGAAGATGTAATTGAAAGAAAACCAAACAGAACTTGAGGCAGCCACAGGACAGTCACAAATGACCACCAGGAGAAGAGTGAGGATAAGGCAGAGAAGTTCAAGAGAAAGTGGTCACCAGGCAAGGTGGCACCCAGGGGGATGTAGCTCAGTGGTAAAACACCTCGGGCTAAATCCCCAATGGCAACAAAAAAGAGAGAAGGAGAATGGCCAAAAACCGAAGTTAAAAAACATCAAACAACAAATCCAGGATGTTCAGAAAACCAAAGTAAGATAAATATAAAGAAAATCTTTACTGGGTACGTCAAAGACAAACCAATGAATCCCAGAAACCAGTGGAGACCAGAAAATGATGGAACATCTTCAAATGGGGAAATAAAAGCCTGGTAAATCAGAATTCTCCATCTGGTGAAAACAACCCTCAAACAAGGTAAAATGGAAACAACTATAGGTCAACAAAACCTCAGGGTGCCACCAGCACGTCCAGATAGATCAGGCTGAGGAGAAACATCAGACAGAAGCAGACCTGGAGAGTACACAGGAAAAGCAAGCAGGATGGGGATTATGAGGATAACTCAGAATTACCCCATGGAACTATCCCACTAAACAAAATGATGTGCCTGGTTAAAAAAAGACTCATCACAGAAATTCTGACAAAAAATGATGCAGGTCAGGAGTGACTCCAGGTAGGAGTTACACAGGCTTCTCCAAGTCAGCTATAGTCTTGTCCACAATTAATACTTGTTCTGCCTGTTGCTCTTTACCAACAACTAACATCCTACAATACGCTAACCTACCACCCCCCCACCACCCCCACCCCCCCCCACCCCAGATGAGAGCTATATTGACCAGGCTGGCCGCAGCTCCTAGACTCAATTAATCTTCCTGCCTCATGCATGCTGCTGATCCTGGCCTTTTTTTTTTTTTTTTTTAATATTTATTTTTTAGTTGTAGTTGGACACAATAACTTTACTTATTTATTTTTATATGGTGCTGAGGATTGAATGTAGAGCCTTGCACACACTATGCACACGCTTCACCGCTGAGCCACAACCCCTGCCCTGTACCTGGCTTTTAAGATGGAATTAGTGGTATAAACTTAATTAGGACAGGCATGGTGGCAAGCACCTATAATCCTAGCTACTTGCGAGGCTGAGGCAGGAGGATCTCAAGTTTGAGGCTGGCCTGGGCAACTTAGCAAGACCCTATCTCAAAATAAAAAATAAAAAAGGGCTGGGGATATAGCTCAGTGGTGGAGCACTTGCTCACCATGCATAAGACCCTGGGTTCAATCCCCAGTACCACACATACATTGAATCCAGGACCATGTGTATGCTAGGCAAGCACTCTACCACTGAGCTTGCTCTTTTATAATAAGACCCCATCTCAAAATAAAAAAGACCCGGGTCCCTTTTGGGGTTTTCTTTTTTGGGGGGGAGAGGTTACTGAGGATTGAACTTGGGGCACTGGATCACTGAGCCACATTCCCAACCCTATTTTATATTTTACTTAGAAACAGGGTCTCACAGAGTTGCTTAGCATTTTGCCATTGCTGAGCTGGCTTTGAACTCACGATCCTCCTGTCTCAATCTCCTGAGCCGCTGGGATTACAGGCATGCGCCACCACACCTGGCAGAGCAGCCCCTTTCTATTTTGAGACAGCGTCGTGATAAATTGCCCAGGGTGGCCTTAAACTTCGGATCCTCCTAGGACTTCGATCCTTGCTGGAATCACATCCAGATGTTTCACATCACTCACTTTCTATGCTTATACAGAAATGTATATGCCTTTAATTTCCCTGAAACACAGTGGAATCATTCTAAAATTTTTTTTTTTTTTTTAGTTGCAGTTGGACACAATATCTTTATTTCACTTATTTATTTTTATGTGGTGCTAAGGATCGAACCCAGAGTCTTGCACGGTGAGGCAAAAGCGCTTTACCGCTGAGCCACAACCCCAGCCCTGAAGGACAACACAGAATAGAATCATTCTACACATTTTAAACAATTACCCTTTAACAATTCCCCTCCAAATATTCACTTTCATAAATATTATTTGCAAAATACTTTGGCTTTTGGTCCTACATTTTAAGCAGTGATCAGTTGTGACCAAGTTGTGTATTATAGCAGTGGTATACTACTATAATCCCAGCAAATCAGGAGGCTGAGGCAGGAGAATCATAAGTTTGAGGCCAATCTGAACAACTTAGCAAGCCGCCTTCTTTAAAAAAAAAAAAAAAAAAAAAAAAAAAAAAAGCTTAAGAAAGAGAGGAAATGTGGAAAAGAGAAAACACAGGTGGGAACAATTGGGGGTGAACAATGAACAAGACCTTGGACCTTGAAAGGTAAATGCTCAGCCTGAGTGCTCTGGGTGGCAGCTTAAGGTAAATGCTCACACCTTTTTCAAAAATGTTGCAGCTGTTTCTCTCTTCGTTGCTGTGATC